TGTATGAGAAATCCACCTTTTTTTTCCAGTGTTTAATACAGCTGGCAAAATCAATTGTGAAAATAATTATGAAGTGCTTCTCTTTTTTTTAATTTAGCATATTATTTAAAAAATCCTTCATTTTATGAAAAGACCCACTTGATTCAATAAAAAACTCTGGTTTTTAAGAAAATGGCTGCTTGTCAATTAATCATTAGTCAATCTATAAGATAAATCAACTTCAAACAACTTCACATTAATCGATAACTTGCATCCCTAATTTATACTGGAAATAAATTAATTTGTATCTACTTACATCTATGTAATTAAGTGTTTTAATGATTTGGTCGATTAATCGAAAAAAAAAATAATCGACAGATTAATCGATTATTCAAATAATCATTAGTTGCAGCCCTAGTTTAATCCTGACCAAAACGTCTGATTTTACTAAAGTGAGGCTGAGCAGAAATCAGATCTTACCCTGCCTCTGGTCGCTTTCCATAGGTGGCAAAATTTAGCTTAAACTTGCGCGGCTGCACAGGGAGAGAGAAAAGCTCACATTAAGCAACCCTCAGAGCTCAAAGATGTGTAGTATAGCACTGATAATGCTGGAAATAGAAAAAAAAAAGAGTTATTTTTGTTGTTATTTGGGTTTACATACCTCCACCACTCAGACCAGCCTTTAGCCCCTTCCTCAGTTAGTTCCTACCAGAGACTCTTTTGACCAGCTTCAAACAAAGTACATTCATGTACAAGCAGCTTCCTCGCCACTTTCAGCAGCACATACAGGCCGGTGAACAGGGGAGCCCAGCAGTCCAGCCAGCACACACAGGGCCGACGGCATTTCAAACACCAAGCAGCTCTCAGTTTAACAACACCTGTCACACTGAGCTTTACAGCTTTGGAAAGATGGGAGGTTTTATATGTTTGTAATTTTGCTAATTTTGCCAAAGATCTGGTGTTGCTGGGAACAATGCCTTTAAAAAAGCCCCCATTAGAAGTGTTTCTGGTCCAATAAATCCTGGCTAAAGCTAGCTGAGCTCCACCATCCACAGATAAATCAACACAAGAATTACAGTTTGATGGTCTGAGTCTAGATCTACAGAAGGAAGGCAGCGTTAAAACTCACTTTTTACATTTCTGGGAGGAAAATATCGATTTCTGATAAAAAGGACAAACATAGAAATGAAAATTATTCTGCGATTAAACTAGTTAACTTACCGGGTTTGATCCTGGAACCAACTTCCCGTTGAGTCTTTGTACGCAGCGGTCGACACTCGCTTCATCCGCCAGCTCCACAAAGCAGTAACCTGCAGAACCACTGAACAATAACCAGACAGTCAGAGCCCACCTGCTGCTAAAAACACAGAAACTTCTTACAGAGAAGACGTTAAGTAGGATTTAACGGTGACTATAACAGTGCAGAAAATGTTCATAAAGACTGCAGTAATTGTAATAAAAATGCAGGATGGTGTTTCATGTTGGGCTCATTTGTGGTCTGTGTTTCCTACCCTGTTATCCTGTGAGTGATGATCTTGACTCCTAACGGTGACTCTCCCATAGCACTAAAGGCCTGTTTCACAAAGTTCTCGTCCATGTATGGGTCCAACTATCAAGACAGAGAAAAGTTAAGAAATATCAAATTAAACCAAAATCAAAAACAAAATATTTCACTCCGTATAACAAAGTACAATATGTTCAAAAAGAAAAAAATTTCATAGGTCTTCTGGACGGGTTCTTCTCTAATGAAACGTTTCGTTTCGTCTCGACGAAACGTTTCATTAGAGAAGAACCCGTCCAGAAGACCTATACAATTTTTTTCTTTTTGATTTTTTACCTGGATTACTGAGATGCATCAGGACTACAATATGTTCAAATCCCTTCATTGCCTGTTTGAAGTAACAATAAAATGGTGATAAAACTAGTCCTAAAGGCCTGATAAACAAGTATTTTTGTTTGTTTAGCTACAAACAAACCTTTCTCTTAATCTCTTCAACAKCAAATACTCTAAAACACAATAAATTCATTATACCAGTCATAAAAACAATGTCTAAAACAATATAGGGTGCTCCAGATCTTAAAAAAATGAATTATTGTGCACTGATGTGTACTGTGACTTCATTGAAATAGATAGCATGTTTACTGTACTTTGTACGTTCTGGTATGATTATTAATTATATAAATTATAAAGCTAGAAACATAACTATATCCACCTTGCATAAAAACACCACAGTTACTACATGATGTCCATGTAAAACGTCTAAGAAGAACCTGGTGGAGTTAGTAGCCTCAACTAAGTTTAGTAATGATGCAGAAAATGTATATACATTTTTTATGTGGACATTTGCAAAAAACATTATAATTAAACAAAATGCACAAACTACAAGCAACGTGTTAATTTTTAAACTGACTTGTTTTAAATGACTGAAGTTTTTCCAACCACAARGACTCTAAGAATTGAGTGTCAACATGAGCTTTGTAACATTATTTTATACATTTTCTGCTACTTACATTGGATTTTATAACGTTTTTAGGATACAAGAAAAAAAATAAAAATTGTGGATCTTTTCATACAATTTCATGGAAACATCTTAAACTTTGAAGGTTATTAGCAAAAATTGAAAGTGAAATGATCACAAAAGCCTCATTAGTTCTGCTAGTTTTGTTAATTATGTTTTGTTTGAATATATTCTGGGGATAAAAGGGGCAGAAATAAGATTTATTATTCTTCTGCTACCTTTCATTTTATTTTGAATTTGTTTGTGTATTTTCTTTGTTTTCTATTGTATAGTTATTTTTTTAATGAAATTAATAATTTTTTTGAATTGAATTGAATAGTTCAGCTATGAATTGCAGCAGAAATCATGAGCTTGATTACACCTAAAGAAACGTCCATAACTTCCTTCATTTTTTTTAAGAAAATTACATGACTTTGGTGTTATTTTGTAGGGATTTAATATTAATTTTGAATCCACTGTCAGATTTGATATTGGTGTGGGATTAAAAAAATATTATCCCCATCCCTAAGAGATCTAAACATAGCTGTTTAGAATAGAGGCAGCCCTGTCCTGCACACACAAACAGTGACATTTAGGAGCACTCTGCCATATTTAGTGCATCCATAAATGCACCAGAGTCATTTGACACCGTTATCTGCTGCAGCTGACACTAAACTTTAAATATCAGGAGAAAAGACTGCCTCGCTCTGAACAACATCCCCCTCATAGCACTGCTGGGTGGGTGTCAGGCAGGGGGCAGGTGGTCACACAGCTGAAAGAGCTGCTCATCAGAGTCAAATAAAAAGTAGTGCATCTGTAACGACTGAAAAAGCTACCAATTATAACAGTTCAAAACTAGAATAACTATTAAAATGTGCACTGCAGACTCCAGAAGCTGACTGGAAGGTAAAAATACTCACAGTGCAGTGGGTCTAGTCCTAAAAGTAATGTTTCTTGATGTTAAAGACATTCTTCTAATTTATTTTAAAGCACTAAAAAGGAGGATAAACTTTTATAGTTGTATTTATTGTGCTCAAAACTGTCTGGGAGTTGTTTTGTAGTAATGAGGATTATATCACTAAGATGCACACAGACACACAAGCTCATTAGGTTTCATTTTAAAGCCAGAGCAAATGATGACAACTCGTGACAAAGAGTATAAAATTTATACCTTCTTTCAGAGTAGATAAAACACGTCATCAGGAAGCTTCAGATTTATTATCACACAGCGCCACTCATGCTAAATAAATACATTTGTGTTGYTCTTCAGCTATAACTGAGTGTCTTGACTTTAAACTGGTCTCTGATCATCAGATCATGTCCAACACGAGTCACACAAACTTCAGTCACTGAGTGATTTCAGCTTCTTATCCTCCGCCATGACGAAGCGCTGCTGTAAGTTATCTTACAGTGTGCTTTCTTCAACTTTAACCATTAATGTCTCTTTTTGCTTTCAATAAAACATTTTACTCCTAGTCATTCATAAAGCCTTTGGCGGATTCCTTTTTTTAGCTTTAACGAGAGAGTGCGTGCATCTGGAGGGCTAGCCAAGCTAGGCTAAGCTAATGCTGCCAAACAAAGCCAAACTTCAACTTACATCACCCATCCAAAGACTGTTCTGTCTGTTAAACATCATGGACCCTGGAAGCGATGTGACACTGTGAGAAAAATGTTTCGCTTTTGTTTTTTAAAACGTTATGGGGGGGGAATGCAAGACTACTCGACTGCTGTCCACACCAGCTTCACAAGTTTACGTCAAATCACTTCCGCCTCCGTATCTGCCTGATGCTGCGCTACATCCGGTGTTTTCCTCTCGAATTAAATCCTAAATAAAACCACACTCCACTGATAACTCTCTTAAACGGTTTAAACTTTTTTTACATCTACTTATCAATAAAAAATAATAAAAATAAAAGTGTATTGTAAGGTTTTCAAAAAAA